CTTTTAGTCATTGTGTGCACGCGTGTGTGTCTACGTGCACACGTGTGTGTGGTGTGTGCATCTGTTGTTAGAAACCATGTTATTTCTGAATGCATCAGGGTCTGACTTAAATATTAGTGTAACTACATTATCACAGTTTCTTTGCCTGGTAGCAAATATGTACAAATGAGGATTACAACTCTTGAGAAGGCAACAGGTCATGGTTGGTAAGCTGCCCGGGGGGGTCACTGATATAGAGTCACTTTTGACAGGCTGTGGAGGAGGCTCTATTGTTGCTGGTGTGTCTGGATGTTACCTGCAGGCACTATCACTGAGACTACAGTATTATCCTATTATTAGGCTTAGTTGTTTACGCTTATTACTGCTTGTCAGGTAGGCAGAGAATCCTTCTGAAAATGAGCATCTGCAGAAAAAATACACGACTACTTCTTTATCTCATTCAAGTACATCGGCTTAGGATAATTTTCACAGGCCTGCACGAATGTATTGATAGGACACAACAAACAGAAATGTAAGATTTATGTTTACATGGAAAATGTTTTCCTGCACCGACTTTCCCAACAGTGTTATTTGGCAGCCGACGTGAGAATGTAAGAAACGATGCATCTGTTCTCTGTGTATTAAAGCTGATAGCATTATGGTATTGCCTCTGTAGGAAGCACGATATACAGTAAGGGGGACAGCGAGGATTGAAACAGCCTTGATTAATGTCTCTGTTTGTAGAGGAAGTGAACAAAATAAAAAAAGCCCATCATATGGTCTGGCAGATTTTGGGCACTAGACCAGGGATGACAAATGTGCTCTCGCAATAATTCAATCTGCTCTCATAATTCTCTAACTTTTAGGGACAGACAGAATGAAGATTTTCCGGCAATTAAGCCGCCAAGTCAACGTCCAATAACTGTGATCAAGTGTTAGTTAAGATGCTTTTTCTCTCACTTTATCCATTGACAGATTGAGGGGTATAAAGATACTTGGTAAGTGGCAGAAAGTTACTGTGAATATGTTAACGAGAGGATTTGGTATCGGATCCAAAACGTTGTCATTTTGTTGATGTCACATTAATGATATGAAGTTTTAAGAATAACTGTGAAGGAACAGAGCTCACTTGTTGGAAGAATAAGTTTGTGATTAGCACAGCTACTGTATTCCAATGTGTATCATTGCCTTTTTAGGACAGCTTTCTTCATACTTTGAGCACTTTAACCTTGGCAGCTGAATTAAGACTGTTAACACAGAAGAAAACCCACCCTTCTGGCTTTGTTTGCTGTCTGCATACATTTTATAAATAGAATAAGAATTCACACAGCATTAAATAGGGTAACGTAAAGCTTAGAAAGTAAAGTGTGTGTTTTTGAGTATCTAAACCAACTCCAGTTGTCAAGCCTTGGGCGACGTAATGTGCAAACGGCACATGGCTGTTTAGAAAACAGAAGGGATCAGGTACTGCTGTTGCTCAAAGTGCCTCTGGGCCAATCACAGTGTGCATGGCACTGCGGTAAACACTTTGTCTGTGTTAAATAAATCAATAACATATGAATCTGCTTCTGTTTGCAGAAAAAGACGTACGTCTTGGTGATGGTCGATCCTGATGCTCCAAACCGCAGCAAGCCAACATCTGCTTACTGGAGGCACTGGTTGGTCGTGGACATACAGGTACGCTAAGACTGAAAAACTGCGCTGCTTTAAGGAAAAACAAGACTTGTGTTTTGGTGATGGTGACACAGGCCGTGTTTGTTATTGGATTAGAAACTCATGGGGTACAAATTTATGATGTAGCGCGTGGCTGTTTAAAAAAAATTTTCTTGAAAATTGTGCATTTTCATAATCTCGGGGTCTCACTTGGCATGTGTAGTGTTTACATCTGCACTGGGGCCGATCGTAAGGCTGAAAAATTATGAATGGTTTTTAAGCCTAACTTGGTTCAAAAAAAGGATGCCAAGTTTGAAAAATGTTAATTTTTCATATCATGTATCTTGTGCAATAAATGCCTGTGACAAAAGTGTGGGAGTAAGTCTTTCTAAATGGCTGTGAAAGTTTGCAAGGCCCTGTCAGCAGCAATTTCCCTCTGCTGCAGAGAGCCTGGGATGTGTCAATGCAGGCGTGTGAGACCGAGATTGAGGAGAGCAGCATGCGAGGCGCACACTCTTTTCTCCCATAGAGCTCCAGTCCCTCAGCTCCCCCTTCAGTGGAGAGATCTTGGCAGAATGTCCTCCCTTCATCTGTTCCCCCAGGCAGAGCAGCTCCCCCAATGATCCACACTTCTCCATATTTTACACCCCCGAAATGGGCACAGCTCCGATCCCCTTATTTCTCTTCATATTTCACTCCTTTTTATCCGTTCGTTTGTGTGTTTTCACATTCTTGCATTCTAACGCCAAATGCATGTTGAGTTGTTGATTGCCTCAAATATTTAGAGGTTTGCCGACATTTTATAATCCCCCGGTAACCGGGAGATCAACTCGGTAGATTAAGACTAGTGGTTTAAGAAACAAGCACACAAAGACGCTTCAGCGATGTATCACTGCTGCCATTTCGTTTTTATAAGGCGTGGTCATACACGAAGTAAACGGCACATTGATTTAAAGATCCAAATGTGATGTATTTGGGATGTATATTCTGGAAAACCTGCAGTACACGTAGACTGTGCGTTCTGTGATTGAGCTCATTGGTGAGAGTTGGTTTATTTAACCACACTTTGGCTTACTGTAAGGAATCTATGAATATTTACCTCACATTTCTCACATACATCAATGATATAAAAAAAGGGAGTGATTTGCACTTTGTAAAATTGTATTAGGCATCACCTTTGCTTCTTATTTTTAAGCCAATAAAGTCTGCCTGGCTGCACGACTAGCTGTGAATAAACAAATGTCTTTCAAGTGCTCAGACAGAGCACATTTTCTCTAGCAATTCAATTTCCTGTCACTTGTGTGGGTGTTGACCTGCGTTGCCCATGTAGGGATTGGCCAATGTGATGGGATGTTTTTCTGATTGTGACTGGTGGTTGGTCAGAAGGGTTAATGAGCCTTTTGAGTGATGCCAACTGTAGTGGGAGGTGTTTAATTGACCAGGGTGCCTAGGTGACATCATAAAATCTCAGTTTTGTTTGAAGTGCCGATGTGAATGTATTGGATTTTGATTTGGTTCAGCGGTTTTGACAGCAATGTCGGTCAATTTTTGAATGAATGCATAAGTATATGTAATTCAGAAAGAAAAGACTAGAGTCACAGTCAAATATGATTGAGGATTTTTTTTAATTTATTCTTTGCATTATTGTTTCATGTGAATTTAAAATAAAAAGTTCTGTGTGCTAATATTTGACATTCACTAGTTATTTGTAACAATGTGTTTGATGGTAGATTACTCTGAAAGAAAAGTTTCTTTAGCTGAAGTCAGGGGTCATGCTTTCAAATGTCAAAGGGATCAGTGTTTTGATCCTCACTCGTCAGATGGTGTGAGCTGCAGCAGCCATAGTCTTTTCATATATATTCATTAGCACAAGGTCATGCAATCTTGCCCTAGATGAGGATGTTTCCATAATTAGTGTGGATTTTTTTTTGTTTTGTTTTTGTTTTTTATCCATATCCGGAGTTATGAAGAAAAACATTTCTTTAATTTAACTGAGAATAAAGTGAGGTCAGGCTGGACTGAGCAGCACGGCGCTACAGATTTACACCGATATCTCCACCAAAGTCTCATTAGAGAATCAATGATAGCACAGCAAAGACCTGCTAGAGTACCTTGTGTTTAGATAGGTTCCTCACCTTACCTTGCTCTGCATGTTCAGCTGTTCACCTATCAAAACATGCTGCTGAGGGTTTTTTTAAATTACGTGACTGCTGTGTAAGACGCACTTGAGAAGGATACTTGTGAATCAGAGTGTGAACATTATCAGGCCGACCAGACCAACCAAGTAGCAGATGTCTTTCTTTTGGAATGATTATCAATAGTAATCTTAAGATAATGACATTGTGTTGTTGCGATTAACATATTTGCCTTGTGCATAAAAGGTCTCTGGTTTCAGACACAAAACCAGCTTCAGGGGTCACAAGCTGGTGTCGGTCCAAAGCCCTGCTGTAAAATCTGTGGCACATCCAAGTGTGGTTTACTCAAACCAGAAAATACAGCTCAGTCCTGATGTTGCTAAAGCTCAGTTCAATTCAAATTTATTTATATAGCACCAAATCACAACATCAGTTGCTTCAACAATCAGACAACTTCCTGTGAGCAAGCACTTGGAGACAGTGGGAAGGAAAAACTTCCTTTTAACAGGAAAAAACCTCCAGCAGAGCAGACTCAGGGAGGGGCGGCTATCTGCTGCGACCAGTTGGGGGTGAGGGGGAGGGACAAAAGACACACTGTGGAAGAGAGCCAGAGATTAATAACACCTGTGGGCCAAGCTAGTTAAGTTAAATGGGGGGAAAAAATCCTGACAGCAGTTTTGATACGTTGATAAATGAGAGAACACATCCGTATAATTATGAGTCTGCCTGCTATCAAAGAACCAAGTGTGGGATAATAAACCAAATTACTAAAGTGTGGGTTTAGCTAAACTGAGATTTAGGAAAAGACTTGCTTCAACTATTTGGCTTGGATTGTAGCTGTGCTTTAAAGTCTGTGTTAAACAAACAGCATTAAGTCAGATTCTGGTTTTAACTACGCGTTAAGTAGTCCCTCCGTTTTAGCTCCTTTGTCATTTTTCAAAATAAACCCAACTGGGTCGAGCTGTTATTTGTGCCTGACACAGTAGGAAAAAATCCCAAAAATAAATGTAACTATATCCAACAGCATCAGCAAACATTTATAAACATGCCGAACAACTGTACAAATACAATTTGAAGACAATCATATTTTAATGTTTGTCAGGTGTTAAATCTTTTATTTAACTGTGTATCACATATCACATCTTTACTTTTGGCTGCCAAGAACAATTCACTCCAGCAATTAAGTGTAAACTGTGTGGCTGGGTGTCTTGTCTTCTCTCACCAGCTGTCCACTTTTCTGTGAGAGCTCGCATTATTAGATGCTCTATATGCATTTTTCATTGCGACTGCCCATTTTCCCTGACCCCCTGAACAACAGTAACAATCATTTAGAATCTTCTGCAGCACACGCTGGGGTTTTTTTGTTTTTTTTTTTGTTTTTGGGGTTTTTTTCATCAATTGTGGACAATTACCAAAATAACCATCAACAGATTGTTGTCTCGCTCTCGAAGTCGAATTCCAGATTGTGAGCCTCTCCCTCCCTCTCTTTGCTCTCCCAGAGACTAAATCAATACAGATGTTCGGGTACGGACTCGCAGCAATAATTACTATAACAAGCAAATCATTAGTACCTGAATAGAGTTAGCTTATATAAATACTGCACTGGGTGTTACTTTTACTTGCTAATACTCTCATTATTTTGGTGCATGTTGAGTCAACATGATGCAATATGAAGTTGCAAAGCTACAGTTAATGCACTTTTGCACTCACTGTTTAGAAAGAGATAAAAAAAAAGCCTTAGGTTTTTATAGATAATTATAGCCAGACCAATATCATCAGCTGATATTCAGGCAGCAGATTGTCCGATATGGAATGATATTTAAAAAAATATTCTTATAAAACACGGCGCAGGAAAGATGATTTAAAATGTTCTCATCTAGTTCATTGTGCAGCAGAATGCCTGCAACTTTGTTTACAATGCTCCATACATGAAGACTGATGTCCAGGATGTCCCCTGCCCCTTGCACTTTGAGCTGGGATACACTCAGTATATTAAGTCAGTGTCAGTGACTTTGCAGTATTTTTAGCATGCAAAAGCAATACAGAGATGATTATTGGATTTTTCAGAGCTCCAACTTTTTTCTGCAGTTATTCTACAGTCTGTTTATAGCCACCAGAAGCAGAAACACTAAGGCTACCATGCAACAGCCATCATCCGAGCTCAGATACATTTCTTTAAACAAGACATGAGATTTACGACCCCTCGTAGCCTGTTTGGACTCCGATCACTCTGTTCTGTTTTGAGGATTGGAAGCCATCACATATCAGCTTCCTCTTCATGACTAATCGAAGGCCAGTTGCATGCACATCCTTCGTGCATTCGCGATTATGGTGCATGAGGGACTTGCATGCTTTAACATCCATCTCTGTTGTAGCGGCTCCCAAAGCAGGACACTGCCTGCGTTCTGCTGCTGCTCAGGCAAATACAAACAGTGAAGTATTGTGACTGTGTCAGACCAGCTGGCTTTGTGTTTGTGAGTTCTGAGGCCTGCAGAGATCATCTGCTCCACACCTCAAGATGTCCTTTATCTGCAAACTATTAGACGTGCAATGCCTCGCAGCATTTCATTCACCATTTAGCTCTTGAAAGCATTAAAATTTTAGCATTTTCTTTCTTTCTTTTCTTTTTTTTTTAACTCTAAAAACCTCATCTTAAAGGACCACAAAAACACAGAAAAGAGGACAAGAGTTGCATGTTGGCACAGACTGTTTTGAAACAACAACAACAGATTCTCGTTGTACTTATTTACCATTATTGTGAATATGTTTAGTGTGTGTCTTTTCAGGAGATATTGTGTGTTTTACATGCACTGAGACATTTCTGCCTGTGCACTCAGTGATGAGTCTTTATCCAAAGTTTATAGTTGATGTGAAGTTTTGCAAAAACTG